CGGAAGGAAAGGCTCTAATTAATATGGACAAAGCTCAAATACCTAACCTTAGAGTTAGGATTGACAAAACNGCCAAAAGAAGAGCACCAGACTAATGAACTCTACATTTGTTAGGATGCTTCAATCTTTTCATAGGTACTCTAGGATCTTGGTGAATGGTTACCCAGTGGTATTAGTATGGTCACATGCTCAGCCTGGGGACTATCTATCAAGGTACGGGATACCTGATGTAAAGATTAAGAAAGGGAATTACTCACATAATAAGGAAGGAAGGAACGACTGCAAATTACCCACGGGATCGAACATATTTCTACCGTGCCTGTTAGTCACGATCATAAAGAAGCCTATACTAGGCACGGGATGGACACAACAGGCACGGGACCATAGCAACAGGCACGGGCACAGGAGACACATTCACTTTGGATCAAATGCTCAGCCTGGGGACTATCTATCAAGGTACGGGATACATGATGTAAAGAGTAAGGAAAGGAGTTATTCATATAATAAGGAAGGAAGGAATGGCTACAAAGTATCCACGAGACCGAACCTATTTGTACCGTCCCTGTTAACCTCGATCATAAAGCTTTCTGCATTAGGTACGGGATCGATGCAAAAGGCAAGGGAGTATATCAACAGGCACGGGCACAGGATTTTTTATTCAGTGGTTTTAGTGGACTTGCACATTCACTTTGGATATGATGCAAGTTTAACAGGCACGAGATGGTCTAAACAGACACGGGATAGGGAGAAGTGGCATATGGAGAAGTTGTCGCTCTATCTGTCCCTGTCTATACTCTATGAATTGTACTATCACTATCCAGTGGTATTAGTGTGGTTTCACACTCAGTCTGGAGATGATAATGCAATGCATGAGGTAAGGGCCATGAGGAAGCACGGTTGGTTCGTTTTAGCATTGATGAGTTCATTTTGTCGGTGGTATGGTTTGGTATTCAGTTTGGTCATTGGTTGGTATACTTTGGCGCCTGGTGAGAGATTTTTAGGTGTTGTTTGGTACTTGCCATTGCCATTTGGATTCAAATACACAGACAGAAGATGGATTCATGCTGCATTCCACTATGTAATAGCTAGCTTAGTTAGAGTTTACTCTCTATTCTTAGAAGTAGCTAGCAGCCTCATTATACGGCACATTAGACACATTGTATGGTTTTGGACCCTGTTTTGGGATTTCTATATATATATTATCCACTAGGCATCAAGCCTAGGGGTATATTTGCTTAAAAAAAAAAGTCTTCTTCTTTAAACTGATAAGAACAGATACTACACTTGATCTTAGCCAAAAGGCCGGCGCCGAGCTCTAGAGAGAGAAGCTCTGGCGATTTGGAGGCGATTAGAGAGAGAAACACGGCGATGGCCACTCCGGCCACTGCCCAGCCCTCAACGGAGGCTGGGCAGTCGTCCTCACCATCTACAACAGCCCCCCTTCCATCTACAATCCAAACAACACCACAAAACTATGCAAATCTGTTAAAACCTAGTGCATTAAATGCCCCCATGCAACCTACGACGACTGTTGCCCTAAAACCAATTGAGTATCTACATGGAGAGCCCATTGTTCGTTGGAAGAAGCAAGAGGTGAGGCAATCCATTGCTCAACAGGGATTGAATCTGGCAGTCTTGGGCAAGTTCTCATACGGGAAGCCAGGTATTCATGAATTACGTAAAGTTCTCCCAATTCAATGTGAGTTAAAAGGGCCATGTACCGTTGGATTGATTGAACATTAATGGAGGATTATATTCATCTTCTTTCAAAGCCTGCGTACTACTTGAAAATCCAGAACGAGATGTGGCAGATGAGGTGCACCAAGTGGAATCCATGGTGGAAAGTTGATGAAGAAACTCCAATTGCTATTGCTTGGATATCCTTTCAAGATTTACCTCCTAACTTCTTTGGGGGGGAGTTTGTATTTTCATTGGCAAGGGCAGTAGGGAGGCCACGTCATGTGGACTTGGCTACACAAAATGGTACACGACCAAGCTGTGCAAAGGTGAAGGTTGAGGTTAACCTAATGGCCAACTTGCCTCAAAGAATCAAGATTGTAGAGGAGGAAGATGAGACTGGGCCTGAAGAATTTAAGTGGATAAAAATCAGGTATGATTATATGCCTAAGTACTGCAAATCATGTAAGAAACAAGGACATAAGGAAGAGGAACGCTGGGTGATTAACCCGGAATTGAGGATATTTGAAGAACCAAGTAATGAAGTGAAGGAGCAAGGTAAGGGACGGGAAGTACTGGTGACATCTAAAGCGATTGGTACTGATGCAAACTCGACTAAGGTGTTATCAAGTGGTAGGGTGTTTGGGAAATCTATTCCTAATCAAGCTAAACAAGAATGGATGCAAGCAAGGAAAAACAAGTATCAATGGGATAAAAGAGGACACATTATTGATGATAAAGCTGGAAAAGATGCGGACAAAGAAAAAGGGAAGAGCAAAGTAGGGGAGGTGACAATGAAGAATAAATTTGATGCACTGGAGGTGGAGAAAATTCAAAATCCCCCTCTTCAAATAACGGAGGGCAGAGGTGAAGATCATGGCAATGGGAAAAATAAAGAACAAGTGCAAAGAAGTCCAAATAGTTACAGGAAAAGGTGCGAGAAGTTAGGAATGTGGAGACAACTTCAAAGCTTAATCCCTCTGGGGTTGGGGTGGAGCAGAAGGAGTTAATACGAATGAAAAAGGAGGCGGTGGAGAAGTCCTTGATAGGAGACAATCCTAGCTCTAGTAAGATCCCTCCAAATAATTCTATAGAAGACCTAGATGTGGTTGATACCATTCCTAACAAGGAGTCAACTATTGAGTGGGTGCATAGGAGGTTTGGGGCTGATAAGGAGGAATTAAGGCAGCTTAATGTTACTATTAATCATTCTTGCCATGAGATTCCCTCTCAAACTTATGGGGATTCTGGGCAAGGAGATGAGGGGATTGAGGTTAATTCTTCTAAGGTAACACGGGAAGAAGAAGCTGAGGCAATGGAAGGTCAAAAGAAGGCAACAAACACAACTGCAAACAAACAAGACGAGGAGAGCATACAAGGTGTAAAATCTGGAAATACTGTAGCTGCTACATTAACCCCTTCACAAAATAGGGTTGATTGTAGCTTGAGTTCTAGGAAGCTGCAAACAGTAAACTCTACTGGAGGTAGCTCAGGAGTGTCAAAAGAAGCTACAAAACAGGAAGGAGTAGAGGTTACAACATTGGGCTACGATAAAGGCAATGGAAAAGTAACTTCTGCAAAAACTGGAGAAATTTTGGCATTTGTCGATGGGGTTCCTATCTATGCTGTGGAGGAGAAGCATGATGGAGGTGTTCCTAGTCACAATGGAACGGTGTCTAATGTTACAGTAGACCCTAGCCTTAGTGCTATTTATGAGCTGCAGTTCAAATTGATGAAGGAGAAGCTTGGAGATACGATTAGTAGCCACGGGATCGAACCTTCAAGTACCGGGCCTGTTTTCATGAATTAGGCATGGGACGGTCTAAACAGGCATGGGACTGAACCAGGCAATTTGGATAGTGCATTGGCGCAATATGATCCGGGTGATAAGGCTATAGTTCCAAAAAAAGGGGATTCTTTACCAATTACCTGCTCATCAGGAACGGGCCCCCCATTACAAATTAAAATCAATGTTCCATTGAAGACACCTAACCAAGTACTACATGACATCATAACTCATCAGAAGGTACCTCTGGAGGTTCAGAATGCTTTGGTGGAGCAGCAAAATCAATTCGAAGAAGAAGGTGATGAGGAGTCTACAACTGAGAATTTTAAAGGAGGGATGAAAGAAGGAGATGTCTCTCCTACAGCTGCTAGTAGAAGTGGAAAGAAGGGGAAGAAGAATCAACCAAAAGAACAATTACAACCTACAAGAATACTGCCCAGGAGGGCAGCCTCGGGAGTGTCGAGATGATGATCAAAACACTTATTTGGAACATAAGGTCTGTCAAAACTCAACAGGCCTTTCAAAGAGAAATCAATATGCAAAAGGAGCATGGATTTTTTATTGTTGCACTTATGGAGCCCAAGCAGAAGAAGAGATTTATTCAGAAGTATAGAAGGAGATTGGGAATGGAAGCAGCTATTTCAAATGTTAATGAAAAGATTTGGTTGTTCATTGATGCGTTGGTGGAGTTTGATGTACTGATTGACACTGACCAAATGCTGACAATCGAAGTGTATCATAGGGAACTAGGTAAGTACATGATGATGACCTTTGTCTATGCTAAATGTTGTGCATTAGAGAGGTTAGAATTATGGGACAATTTGTATTATTTGGCTAGTGACATGGAATTGCCCTGGTTAGTTGGAGGGGATTTCAATGTAGTTCTTGGAGAAGATGAGAAGAAAGGGGGCTACCAGTATATCCACCAAAGTATGAAGACTTTTCCTTTTGTGTTAATTCATGTGGGCTGTTTGATTTGGGGTATAAAGGGAGTCCTTTTACCTGGTGGAATGGAAGGCCTAATGAGGAATGCATCTTCAAAAGATTGGATATGATTCTTGTGAATATGCCTTTCCAATCCTTGTTTCCAACAATTGAAGCGGAGCATCTTATAAGGACAGGCTTAGATCATGCACCATTGTTAATGAGCTGTGGAGAGGAAGCAATGATATTTGTGAAGCCTTTTAAGTTTTTGAATTTCTGGACAAAACATGATTCTTTCATGGAAGTGGTGAAGCAGAATTGGGTTGCAGACTTTATAGGGGACCCTTTCTTAATGTTCAAGCAAAAGCTGAAGAGGGTCAAGATTGCTCTATCAAAATGGAGTAAATTGACATATGGTGACATTTTTAAACAATTGGCTATAAGGGAGGACATAGTGAGAGTTAAGGAGATGCTGTTTGAGGAGGACCCTTCATCAGAGAATAGGGTGGTTCTACAGCAAGCACAAGCTGAACTTAAAAAATACCTGAGTATAGAGGAGCAGTATTGGAAACAAAAAGCAGGAATGACATGGTTTGAGGAAGGAGATAGAAACACAAGATTTTTCCATAATTGTGTCAATGGGAAGAGGCAAAAGTTGAAGTTGAAAAGGATTCAAAGCAGTGATGGTACATGGATTGAAGACCTAGAGAAACTATCTGAGGCAGCTGTGGATTTTTTTTAGAAACAATTCACTATGGAAGGGGATCCCGCAAGCTTTGATATGTTGAATAATGTTCCTTCAATGGTATCAACGGAGCAGAACCTGGAGTTGTGTAGATTGCCAAGTATGGAAGAGGTGAAGAATGCAGTCTTTGCTCTTAGTAGTGAGAGTGCAAGTGGACCAGATGGTTTCTCTGGACTGTTTTTCCAGGCTTGTTGGGAGATTGTCAAAGAAGATATTCATGCTCTGGTAATACTGTTCTTTGAAAATAATCCCTTACCTAAATCCATAAAACACACGAATCTGGTGTTACTGCCAAAAAAACCACAAGTACAAACCTTTTCTGACCTAAGGCCTATTAGCTTGAGCAATTTCATAAATAAGGTCTTCTCTAGAGTGGTTCATGATAGGCTGGAAGGGATGCTTCCTACGTTGATCTCAGCTAACCAGTCAGGATTTGTTAAAGGTAGAAGTATTTTTGAGAATATACTACTGACTCAGGAGATTGTCACGGACATAAGGTTAAGAGGGAAGCCTGCCAACGTAGTGATCAAGTTAGATATGGTAAAGGCTTATGATAGAGTGTCGTGGAAATATTTGTTACATGTATTGCGGAGAATGGGGTTTGCGGAGTGTTTCATCAACATGATTTGGAACCTTATCTCCAACAATTGGTACTCTATCATACTGAATGGGCAGGCAGCTGGATTTTTTCATTCTACAAGGGGAGTGAAGCAAGGGGATCCTCTATCACCTACACTTTTTATTCTATCAGCGGAAGTGCTATCAAGATCATTGAACAGATTGTTTGAAGATAGGCAATTCAGAGGATTTGGCATGCCTAAATGGTCAGACCCTTTGAATCATTTAGCCTATGCAGATGACACTATCATTTTTGCTTCAGCTGATCCCTACTCTCTTCAGAAGATAATTGATGTATTAATGGTGTATGAAAGGACATCCGGCCAGATGATCAATAAGACAAAGAGCTCCTTCTACATGCATTCAAAGGTGTCTGGTACTTTGGTGAACTCTGTAGCTGCCATCACAGGTTTCTCAAAGGGAAGCTTTCCATTTACTTACCTTGGCTGCCCTATCTTTTACACTAGAAGAAGGAAAAATTACTACAATGATCTGATTCAAAAGGTTAAGGCAAAGCTTCACTCATGGAAAGGTAAATTGTTGTCTTATGGAGGCAAGGCTACATTGATCTCTAGTGTTTTGCAGAGTATTCCTACACACATGTTATCAGTGTTAGATTCTCCTGGTAATGTGTTGGAACACCTTCACAAGATATTTGCAAGATTCTTTTGGAGTAATAAGGAAGAGGGGAGGAGCAGACATTGGACAAAATGGAAAAACCTATGTCTACCTAAGGAGGAGGGGGGAATAGGTTTTAGATCTTTGTTTGATGTGTCCAAGGCCTTATCTGCAAAGCTATGGTGGAGGTTCAGAACATCTAAATCCCTATGGTCCAATTTTATGTGGAACAAATACTGCAAGAAGGAACTTCCTACTGTTGTTCAGTTTAGAGAGGGTTCCCATGTTTGGAAGAAAATGCTAGAAGCTAGAGAAGAAGTGGAGCATGAAATTCTGTGGGTGATGAATAAAGGTTCTACCAATGTGTGGCATGAAAATTGGACCGGCCTGGGAGCATTGTATCATGTGTTGCCACCAGAATTCCCTATAAATGAAGAACTGGAGGAAGTACTTGATCTGAGAACTGCATAACAATGGAATGATGAATTGCTGAATCACAGCTTTCCTGAAGATATTGCAGAACATATTAGACAGGAGGTGCCTTTTTATAGTGGAGATGAATTCTGGGACATACCTAGGTGGATGCCTACACCATCAGGTAAGTTTTCTGTAAGTAGTGCATGGAGAATAATGAGGCACAGGGAACCTACAAATCCAGAATTTGCAAAGTTATGGACCAAAGGTTTACCTTTCAAAATTTCTTTCTTCCTATGGAGGGTGTGGAGAGGAAAGGTGCCTACAGATGACATATGGAGAAGAGGGGGATACATGATAGTCTCAAAGTATTGGTGTTGTACACCACCACAGGAGGAGTCATTCCAGCATTTGTTCTTAACAAATGAAATAGCAACTAAGGTATGGGAAACGTTCTTACAGGCTGCAGGATTGATGACTAATATGGTACAGGTGCACCAGGTTATAAGGGTATGGTGGAATGCAAAATGCTGCCCAAAACTAAGACCTATATTTCAGGCAGCTCCTGCAGTAATTCTATGGGAAATCTGGAAGAGAAGGAACACTAGAAAACATGGTGGATCAGTGTCCTGTAGTAGAGTCATACATGAGATGAATAAGACTTTGTATTATTTGGCAAAGGTGAGGTATCCGTGGCTTCAAGGGATTCCAATGCTTTGGCCAGAAATGATACGATTTTTTGAGAATTATAAGCCAGTGGTAGTCACTCGAAGAGTTACATGGACATTGCCATATGAAAAATGGTACAAGTGCAATACAGATGGGGCATCAAGAGGGAACCCGGGCCCAAGCTCGTATGGATTTTGTGTTAGAGATGATAGAGGGGATTTGGTGTATGAAAAAGCAAGGGAGATAGGTGAGACAAAAAATATTGTAGCTGAAGCTAAAGGAATTATTGAGGGACTGAAATACTGTGTGGAACAACAGCTTCACCCATTGATCATGGAGACGGATTCATTAGTGATGAAGAAGATAATTGATGATGAATGGGAGACACCATGGTGTATTGGAGCAGAAGTGAGGAAGATCAAGGAGATAAAGGAGTCCTATAATGTACTATTCCAGCATGTGTTTAGGGAGGGCAACAAAGTGGCAGATTTTTTAGCTAACCATGTTTTCTTTTTTGCAGGTACTATCACATTTCAGTCATTCCATGAGTTACCATCGGAAGGAAAGGCTCTAATTTATATGGACAAAGCTCAAATACCTAACCTTAGAGTTAGGATTGCCGAAAGATGAGCACCAGACTAATGAGCTTTACATTTGTTATTATGCCTCAATCTTTTTATCGGTACTCTAGGATCTTGTTGAATGGTTACCCAATGGTATTCGTATGGTCACATGCTCAGCCTGGGGACTATCTATCAAGGTACGGGATACCTGATGTAAAGATTAAGGAAGGGAATTATTCACATAATAAGGAACGAAGGAATGGCTGCAAACTACCCACGAAACCGAACCTATTTGTACCGTGCCTGTTAGTCTCGATCATAAAGCAGCATGCACTAGGCACGGGATTGACGCAACAGGCACGGTACCATATCAACAGGCACGGGCACGGGATTTTTTATTCAGTGGTATTAGTGGGTTTACACACTCACTTTGGATCAAATGCTCAGCCTGGGGACTATCTATCAAGGTACGGGATACATGATGTAAAGAGTAAGGAAAGGAATTATTCACATAATAAGGAAGGAAGGAATGGCTGCAAATTACCCACGAGACCGAACCTATTTTTACCGTCCCTGTTAGTCTCGATCATAAAGCATCCTGCATTAGGTACGGGATCGACGCAACAGGCAAGGGATTATATCAACAGGCACGGGCACGAGATTTTTTATTCAGTGGTTTTAGTGGGCTTACACACTCACTTTGGATATGATGCAAAACATGATGCAGGGGACAGCCTCAACAGGCATGGGATCGACTTGACAGGCAAGAGGCACGAGTTTGGTTCAACAGGCACGAGACGGTCTAAACAGACACGGGATTGGGAGAAGTGGTTATTACTCCAAATATACTCACCTATTCTCTGTATATTAGTAGGTTTACACACTCATTTTGGAGATGATGATGCAATGCATGATGCATGGGATTGTTACAACAGGCATGGGATTGAATCGACATGCAAGAGGCTCGGGTTTGGCTCAACAGGCATGACATTGTCTAAACAGGCACGGGATTTGGAGAAATGGTTGTTGCTCCATCTATCATCACCTATACTCTGTGTATTGTACTATCATTATCCAGTGGTATTAGTGTGGTTGCACACTCATTCTGGAGATGATAATGCAATGCATGAGGTAAGGACCATGAGGAAGCACGGTTGGTTCGTTTTAGCATTGATGAGTTCATTTTGTTGGTGTCATGGTTTGGTATTCAATTTGGTCATTGGTTGGTATACTTTGGTGCCTGGTGAGAGAGTTTTAGGTGCTGCTTGGTATTTGCCATTGCCAGTTGGATTCACATACACGGACAAGAGATGGATTCATGTTGCATTCCACTATGTAATAGCTAGTTTAGTTAGATTTTGTTTTCTATTCTTAGAAGTAGCTAGCAGCCTCATTATACGGCACATTAGACACATTGTATGGTTTTGGACCCTATTTTGGGATTTCTATATATATATTAGCCACTAGGCATCATGCCTAGGGGTATATTTGCTTAAAAAAAAGTCTTTTTCTTTAAAAACCCCAAAACCCGTCCGCGTCTAGAGAGAGAAGCTCTGGGCGAAAAATAGGCGATCAAGAGGCGACTAGAGAGAGAAACAAGAATTCCGGCTGCCATGGCCAATGTGGCCGGCGGCCAGCCTGTTACTCAGGTTGGTCAGCCCCCTCCCACCATCGCCCAGCCCTCCACAACCACAAATAACAATCCCCAACCCTCTAAAGAACCAAACGATCCTCAAACTATGAACTTCGCAGCAGCTCTTAAACCTTCGATCCATAATACCATGCAAGATAAAGCAACAGTTGAACCTATTGTGTTTAGATGAGCCAAGTTGTTTCAGGGGCAGCCTACTGTGTGCTTTACTGAATCTGAAGTCCAACGAATGAATATTATTGAAGGTCTTCAATATGCAATTGTTTGTAAGTTTTCTTATGAATAGCCTGAGATTACTGAATTACGTAGAATTATTCCTATTCAATGTGGGATTAAAAGTGAATGCTTGATTGGAGTTATAAGGGACAAACATATCCTGATTCGATTCTCAATGAGGCAAGATTATCTGGACTTTACGTCGAAGGCAGTGTATTATGTTAAGGACAAATATGGAGATGAATACC